AATGTAATTTTTATATTACCATCCATTTTCATGTCGGTGAGCTTTGACATCAACATATGTCGGGCGACATTAGCGAAATGTCGCGACATTTGAAACCATGCTCAAAACTACATCTATTCTAGGACTACCCAATTTAAGTACCAACTTAACCACTACTTAGTTGGTTTATGCCGGTTTGTTGGTAACTTGCCCTAACAACCTATCATTCCATGCTATTTTTTCTAACTTTCTAAAAGTTTTACTTTCTTTTTTTCTTTTTTTAGGAGTCATGATTGGTTAAGTCTTGTATAAGATTGTATTTTTTTGTATTTATTTCTTAAAATGTAGTATGATTTTCAATCCTATTGATAAAATATTAGTAAATGTGCATGTGTTTTGCATGTGGCAATTCTAAATGATGATAATGATAATAATAATATATCAAAATTTTTTTATAGATTTTATGTATTTTTTGTTCTTATTTTTATTTTTTATTTTTTATTATTAATCAGATGCAAATTGTAAACAAATCTGATTACATAAACACCTCATCCAAATATGTGATAATTGGATCGAGTTGTGAAGTTTCAAGTATCATTGACAAGACTACCTACTTGGTTAGACTTTTCTTTTTGTGATGTTTTATCTTTTTTTGTGTATCTTTTTTTGTTCATTTATCAAATAAAAAAATGTAAGATTTAAATAAAGGGAATTGAATGAGGTGACAAGTAATAATTCATTTATCATAAAATAATTTTGATATGTTATACTTACTTTTTGTTTAATATGATAAATATATGATATCATACATATGCTTGATTTTTTTTGCAAAATTCATGTATTTTTTCATTTTTGATTCTTATATTTTATTAATTATTTATGACATTAAAGTTTAACAAATTTAACCCAAAAGTTTAGCTACTTATTATTAATTTTTATATTTCACTATTGGCTAATTCTAAATTATATATTTCATTTTCATTATCAATAAAAATAATTATTGTTATTACACTTAATTTTTAATTTGATTAATACAAATATCATACATATGTCTATTTTTTTCTATATTTAAAAGTTTTCTATATTTATTTCTATTCTAAAAATTTTATTACCTAACTATGACTTCATAGGTTGATCCATTTCATTCAGATGGTTGAATTGCTTAGTCACCACTCACCACTTAATAAATAATGGTTTTGTTTTTGAGTCAATTTTCAAATATAAGGTTTATATTGTTGAAAATATTGACATAGATTAATCAATAGCATTTATCAGTGAAAAATAACTTAAATATAAGATTTAATAAGAGAAAATGGGATTCAATACCTTAAGTATAAGACTTAATGAGAGGAGATTAAATGAGGTGGAAAGTAATAATTGAAGTTACATTTTCAACCCTTACAATTAGGGATGGTCTAAATACATAAATATGGGAGTTTTACTTGGCATTAAAGCTATAATAAAATGACATTTATACCCTTTCTCAAACTAAGAAATAAATGACAATTTTAGTCCAAAAAAAGTTTCACAGTGCATTCACACTTTTATATATAGTATAGATAAAAGTAATAAGAACATTAGTTTTACAATTATTTTTATTGAATCAAAATCCATCTAAAAATCGTTAAAATTAATAAAATTAATAAAACTAAAATAAATATTAATATAATTAAAATTTATAATAAGTAATAAATTTTATTATTTTAAATTCGATTTAAAATAATAGAATTAACAAAAATTATCATTTTTATAATTAATTTGATTAATTTAAAATATATTCAGATTTATTTAGAATTAATAAGAAATTTGGCCAATCTCAATAAGGTGTAACTTGGATTGTAGTTAGACCAACTATACGTAACTAGTTCAACTCAATTTCACTTAACAAAGTCCATGCATTATTTTAAAATATTTATATTAATAAAGTTTTAAAACTAATTTTCATGTTTATTGATAAAATAAATAATTAATAAAAAATATTAATTTAAAATTAAGTTTACTAATGTAGAGTATGTTTGTGAATAATAAAAATCAATTGAATTTTTATTAATTTAAAATATATTTAAATTCAATTTAAAATTAATAAAAATAATACAGAAACTCACATTTCACTATGAATGAAACTAGATTTTGGTATGTCTAAATATATAAAATAAAAAATAATGCTTGACTTTGACTAATTTGGCTCAACTGAGAATGGTAGAATGTCATGGAATTCCTTCCTCCTCAATTTCACTTATCAAAGCCTTTGCACATGTTCCAACTAAAATTTGAACTTTGGCAAAAAGATATTTTGATATCAAAGCCTTCCTCCTCAAAAAGATATTTTTGTGAATCCACAATACAATATGATACACCCAATCACAATTTTGAACTTTGGCAAAATATTCTTATGAAGTAGTAAAGATAGTTTGGGGTATTGAAACCACCTTTTCTATAACACATTTTAGTTTTAGATTAAAATAATGGTCATTTACTAGAACACCCCCTTTAGTTTCACAGATTTACTTAAACTCACCTATAGTTTTCATTTTATTAAAAGACTCATATAATTTGAAACCTATTTACTTAATGGACCTTTCATTAAGAATTGTATGTTTTTTCCATTTGAAAATGGTAACATTATCACCTAAACTGAGTGGAAATGTTCAAAGGCATGGGCATATGATTGTTTATTCCAAAAGTATCCCTAGCATTTCTTCATACAAAACAAATTTGATGACCTAATAAAGCTGAATAGAGTGGTCACTCATGTTTTATTAGGGGCAAAAATGTTATTTTTGTTTTTATTTTCTTCTAATTAAGTTTATTTAAATGGACATTAGGGTCAAAACTGCCACTTTCAAGTGTCATCTAATGGAATGTTAATTAAATAAATCAATTGCAAACTACAGGGGGTATTTAGTAAAATGGAAACTATAGAATAGGTTTTAATAAATCCATGAAACTAGAAGAAGTGTTTTAGTAAATGACATTAAAATAATAAATCATGGCCTTCCATACATTGTTGGGGGTCCATTTTTTACTTGGATAGATGTAAGTGAATTGACGTCAAAGTGGGGCGACACCAACACACGGAAGGCCCCATTTTAGCCTAAAGCTAAAAACTCCATTGTAGCAAGGTGGACTCCTAAAAATGTATGGTAATGCTTTATTTGGCAATACTTTTCGATTTATACTTTGGTATGAAAGTCTAAGATGCATGTAATACTTATATTTTTATATTTTTATTTCAAAAATCAGTTTGAATGAATTTTTTTTCACAAATATATGTTTCAAAGAAAAAATAAGTAATGACATTTGAATATAACAAGATGTTGTACACATGTACATGTCATGTAATATTTACAAATGCTACCATATGGTATATGCGTGGATGTTATATAGCACAAACATCACTTATTACATTCAAATGCCACAACATTCATGTATGTGGCACATACTTATCATTAAATATGTTATATGTCGTGGCATTTAGAATGTCACCATATAACATGCACCTGTCGTTGAATATTTTAAATGTTATGAAACATCTATATATGTTGGCATGCATCATATACATGTCACTGAATATATTAATGTATTTATGCTTCTATGTGGTATCCATATATAGTGGTACACGATGTTGTATATAACTATCAATCAGTAGTTAATATAGACGTTTTAAACAGTATAAAGTACTAAAAAGGCTAAAAAACACCAAGAATAAAAAAATGGTTTCATGTTTTTTTATACATTTACTTGGCATTTTTTTTAAGTAAAAATACATCAAATGAACACAAAGTGATGTTTTTTTTTTATTTTTTGTATTTTAAAAAATACAAAAAGTCTTGTCAAATAGGACCATATACATACATCTATGTGTTATATACATGAGAATATTCTACATATTTAACTGATGGAAATGTGATAGTAGGAGACAAAGTGTTGTAAACTTTAAATCTATAATAAAAAGGGAAATGGATGTTTTTTTAGAAAAGGGTAAATTACAAAGACCCCTTACTAGGCAGTGACAATTGCCCCTTGAATTGTCCTTTGTGACAAAAGACCCCTTGAAGTTTCACTTTGTGACAAATATTCCTTGGTAGTTAAGAAATGACAGAGTGCATTAAATTGCCAAATTAACCACTTGAACTTTTTTTAATTTTTTTTCCTCTCACTTTTCTCTTAAGCCCTAATTGACCAAAAATACCTTCATTTTCCCCAAACAAAACTAGTTAAAATAACAAAAATCATTTCATAACTTAGAAAAATAGGTTTCTTTTAACTATTGTTTCATTTCACTAACATGAATGTCTTTCTTCATCTTAAAATATAAAAAAATATCCACTCATTTCTTCCATAAATAAAGAAAAACCAAACAGAACCTTAAATTTATATATATCAGAAAGAAACCATTACCATTTCATTTGAATATTGAATGAAACAAGAAATATACAATGATCTATTAAAGAAACTGAAATAATTTAAATATTATATTTGGAAAACTAATGGAATCATAAATTGTTCAAATAAATAAGAAAAAAGGTAGTTTGGAGATGAAAAAAAATTAAATAACTAAGAATCCTTTCTAAGTTAATTAATGAAACTTTATATAAGGGTGTTTGTCCCTAAGTAAAAGTTTAGGGGTCTTTGTAATAAAAGTTCAGTAGTATTTGTTATTAACTCCCAAAACTGTAAAGTGAGTTGTGCCAACTCGGAAGTGACAATGTTGAGTCGACTTGCTGGCACGACCCACATAGCTGCCTGTACAAACCACCCGCATATGCAGACATATATATGTATACACTATATACAAATATTCTAATTTTATTTAAAATTTATTATATCTTCATTTTAATATTTTATATATAAATAATTGTATACATCAAATTAATTTAATTTTTTTTCAATTTTTCAAAAAAATCGTACCGCTTCCCCCGGCCCGGCCCGGCCCGCGTGCCGTCACGGCACGGCCCTCTACAGTGCGGGCCGCCCTCAAAACATTACACACGGCCCTTAATACAGGGAACAGGGTTGGGTGTTTGTAATTTATCGTTCTTATAGAGACGCACACTCGACAACTTGGAACTCAACGAGGCAAGGGGAAGACAAGCAGAAGAAGTAGGTTGAAGATAATCAAAGTTAAGTGGTACGAGCAGAGATGGAGACTCAGTCGGACGGTAACGACGACATCGACACCATTAAAGAGATCCGCCAACAGCTGGAAGCTAGCATAGAGACCCGACACCTTGCCCAACAACATCTCATTGCCTCTCTCCAAACCCTTGTTCCCGACCTCGTAAGTTCCCTCGACCTCTCCCTCAAGGTTGTCTCCGCCTTCAATGGCCGCCAGTATACTCCATCCCCACTCCCTGATCTTTTTATCCCCCCGGCTAAGCCCCTCCCTAAAACCCCTCTGGGCGACCGCCAACCTCGTCGTCGATCCGTCGAGCCCAAACTCCCCACGGTCTCGAGGAATTATCAGAACCATAAGGCGTCGCCTGAAGCTCCCCCAATCCGTCGCTCCGATAGCGAGAAGTGGATGTCGATCGACGGCAGTGGGAGCCCGTTGTCCGTTGTTCGATCGATGGTCGCGGATTGCCTTTTGCAGCGAGTACCCTTTACGCCGATTGACTCGTCTGCAGTGCTTAGAAAGCTCGAGAACGACCAGTCGGCGACGGCGGCAGAGAAGTCGGCTTTGCTCGAACTGGGAGGGGAATCGGGTGCCATATTGGCGGTTGAAATGGCGTTGAGGTCGATGGCCGATGATAATGCTGGCGTTGTACTGGAGGAGTTTGTGGTAGGCGGGAAATCTAGGGTTAGGGTTTTGAAGATTGACCGCGATCTGCTAATGAAGGAATTGCCTGAAAGCGCTCACATGCAGCAGCAGCAGCAGGAGCCGAATTCAGAAGACGGGAATCAAGTTCAGTCGGCGATGACAACTGGAGCCGATGTTAATGGGGCGGTTTTTGGGATGGGTGGAGCTATTGCTAGGCCGCTGCCTGATATGTGGGTTGGGCCCGTTGACCCTCACATTTCAGGATTGCCCCCCATTTTTCCGGCTGGTGGAGGACCGCCACCGATGATGGGCCCGAGGGGTGGGCCTAGAGTAATGGGAATGATGGGGATTCACAGAGGAATGGGTGTTCCACCTCTCCATAGACCGCCGATGGGACCTGTTGCAACAATGGGTGGTCCAAATTCGACGCCTTTGAAGATGAGAACCGAAGAGGATGATTTGAAGGATCTTGAGGCTTTGTTGAATAAGAAGTCCTTCAGGGAGATGCAGAAGTCGAAGACTGGGGAGGAGCTCTTGGACCTGATCCACCGTCCCACCGCCAAGGAAACTGCCGTGGCTGCTAAGGTTTGGAATTATTATACTTTTTGGGTTTGATAGTCTTCATTAAATTCTAATTAAACTGATCTTATACTTTTGTGGACTATACAGGAATGAACATTTTTATTTCTCGTTGAAACCAGTGTTTTAAATGTGCAAGGCACAAGAAAAGCACAACGTTTAAAACATGAATTCTAATTGAAAAAACATTAATATATATGATGCAAATATGAATTCTAATTGAAAATAAATATTCTGAAAAGTCTATTGACTCAGCATAAAATACATAGACATGGTATATAAGACACTAGCAAAGAAAGACAACACTAGTAAAGAAAGGCATAACGTATAAAACATGGTCAAAGTGACATGTGAAAATGAAAGCAGACATATACGGATCATACCAAAGTGTTTGATGTTTCAAAAGCGCTCAGCGGTGTACCAGCCTGTATCCATATTTACAACCTTGAGTGCAAGGGTTTGGGATATTGCCCCTGGCCTAAATTGTTGGCCTGTATATTTAAAGGGGTTGGTTTTGTGAGTCTGGGATCATTCTATTTTAAAGTCAGGGATCATATATTAGTTGCATTGGTGTATCTTCTTTAGTGGAAATTTTCATATTTAAGATCATATTTGAAAGAACCAAGGTTTAAAAGTATTCTTTGTTTTTATTTATTTTAAGAGTCAATATTACCATTACTTGTGTATAGACATCAGTGAAAGGTAATTTAAAAGTTGATTAAACACTATATAGTGTGAAGCATATAAGAATCTAAAAAATTGACAAAAAATACACATTTTAATAAGGCACACACCTGGGCTGAAGTGCAAGGCGCATCAGAATGCATGTCTTTTGAAAGGGGTTGCTAGGGTGATCACACCAGGCCCTGAAATTTCCGGGCCAGGCCTAGCTCTGTACTTCAAGCCTAGCTCAGATAGAAGTTTAGTTTGATTTTATCACTACTTGGTGGGTCCCAATCTTGTTCCAAGGTTGTCATTGGTTTTCTTTTTGATAATAAATGAAAAAATTTATTCAAAGAGAAAAGGTGATAAGATATCGCCACTACCAAAGCAAAATAACCATACATAACCTTCCTCTCAACACAAACCCCACCACTCAACGTAGACTCCACCCACCAAACAGAAAGAATCCACTCCTTATACCCCAATTGCAACAAGCCCACCACCCTTCCAATGCCACTATGACCATGCCTCAATCCACTAACTGTCTCCATCCTTCCATCAATCAGACTCCCTAGCTCCTCCCCTTGCTATTAATCACTTCTTTGATGCCCAACACCCAAGGTTCAAAGTATCGATACACCTCTGTGTATCGGTACTAAAAACCACACGCTTTTATATTTTTTGTTTTTTTTTTCAAAAATTGGTTTATATATATATTATTAAAAAGAAAGGGTTCTCGAAAACAGATGTTTCGGAACCCAAAAGATATGATGCGATATGCCCGATACGGGAGCATAGTTTTCTAGGCGCCAAGGCAAGGCTAGGCGACTGGGGGGCGCCTAGTCGCCTAGTCGGCGATGGATTTTTTATGTTAAAAACATAGATCCTAGGGTAGTTCCCTAGGTACCATAACCATATTTCTTTAATAATTATTCATGATTTTCATAAGAAAA